CTTTTGAGTCAATGGCCGGTGTCCTGATGACCGCCTGGACTGGACCTTGAAGTCCTGTTGAATTCTGTGAGTTGAAGTCCACGAGTCTTAAAGCTGCCCAGGTTGGGGACCCTTGCCCTAAGAGGTTTTCTGGATGTTCTGCTTCCAGACGAAAACTGCAAGGACAACTACTACAACTGCAACGTTGTGGTTCAAGCCCGCCTCTGCGTCTACACCTATTACAAGACGGCCTGCTGCGTGTCCTGTTCCAGAGTGGCAAATCGGCAGTCGGGCTTTTTAGGGAGGCGATAACAGCTGCTCCGTCCCGGGCTTCGGACCTATGCCTCAGTCCTCCCAAGCTGCTTTCACAACACTTCTACCTTCCCAAGAGTGACTCTTGTTTTCCCATAATGATGGAAGGGATGATGGAAGTACCTCTGGGGGGGATACCACTAACATACACTGTACTAAAAACCTTGGGGGAAACCCGTGCTGTTAATGCTGGACCTTCAAAGCTTTAGGCACGGGGAGACACATGGATGGATGGATGGATTTTTGATGTGCCATCAAGTCACTGAGGACTCTTAGCGACCTCATAGATTTTTTTCCCCATGTCAATCTGTTGTCCCTAACCTGGTCTTTAAGCTCTTCAGGATGTGTGACAATAGAGGTAGTCTTCAAACTTATAACCAGAATTGGGACGGGAATTTCCATCATAAGTCGTTGTGGTTGTAAATCAACAGTAGAAGTCATGGGGTTGGGGGTGGGGGCTGATGGGACATCTGGCACTTCTGGGACGAAGTGAGGGGAGTCTTTGCATTGTCACTTTTGATGAAGCTCACCTGATTGGGTGCTGCCCCGAGCAAAGAGACTTGACCATTTGCGGTTGACTAGATTAGAGGTATTGTCCGAGCGAGACTATATGGCATCACACACAGTTTCTTTGAAGGACAAGGATAGCTATGGAAAATGTCACCCAAACAACTCTTAGTTGACTTGACTTGAGTCAAGTTGACCTGCCCAATCCATGATCTCTTTGACTTATGAAAAGGCAGCTTCATGGAGGGCTGTGCACGGGAGGAATGGGTATTTTATTTTTTTTTGTAAAAATGGATTCCTTCACCTCCTCACCCCACAAATCTTCCAGAATGGCGTGTGTGTGTGTTTCCAATTACTCCAATTGTCTTCTAGTAAAGCAATCAAGTTGTTTCAGTCTTCTTTTTCAGGTTCACCGCGTTCTTTTCTTCAGCTATGGAGCAAGTTGAAAGAAGCCATGTTTAGTGGCCTCCATGTTTGATTTGTTGGACGGCTGCACAAGAGCGTCCCTCTGGGCTAAGAACATTGGCTGTGTTCCTATCATTTCCATCCCCTGTTCTTGGAGGCGTGGAGAACAAGCTCCCTTATGATCCTGGGTTCCCACTTAACTATGTTTATATCGCCGAGTGATTGCTTTTGATTTCCATTCAAGTCACCGAGGGATGAGAACCAGTCAGGGTAGGTCGCCTGCATCATCCTTCAATTCTTGGATGGAAATAGACATCTCAAGGGTGTGTCTCGCTCACTTCGAAGCGGAGAAAGAATTAGGAACTCAGATTTGAAGAGAAGGTTTTTATTCATCCCACCTCTCTCCCTCTAGTCAATTTTAGCTCAGACCCCAGAGTTGGCTTTGCAATAAACAAGATCAACTCATGGTTTGGAGGAAATTAGTTTTGTTTATGCTGGATCCATACAAAAGTAGAGAGATTTCTCATCTCTGTTCAACAGAGGCATGAAAACTAAGCCAGGTTGAGGCAACTTGCAAAATGAGATCCCACCCTACCATTCCCTGTGCCAACTAACCTAAAATTAACCCCACCTGACAAAATAAAGAAGGATATACTTTTTTTATAACTTATTTTTTTATATTTGTAAATACAAGATGTTTATAGGAAAGTACGTATTCTAAACGATGTCTATGCAGATCAAGCCACTACAGCAAAATAGTTCTATTATTTAGAAAGCGATTTTTTGGGGGTGGTGTATTTTTAACAAACAAACAAAAAAGAAGGGACTAAAATTGTATTTATTTATATATTCCACTCCCATGTTTGTCCAGTTTTTTTGATAGTACTAATCAACCTTTAGCCTGGAAATTTTATACCATGTCGAATATATCAGTATCATACTTAAATCCATATTTAAGGGGTATGTTTGTTTGTTTTTAAATTCCATGGTTAATCATCCATTTTTACACATGGCTTCTTGTGTTAAGAAATGAGAGATGTATAAGTTAAAAGGACCTCTAGACTAGTTCGGGATTTATATGCTCAGCAATGCACCTGGACTGCATCTGTACAGCATCTTTAATATTTTTACACATATTCGCCAATGAGGAAAAAAGATATTTTTGCTTATGACTAATTTATTTTTTATTATTGTGAAAAAATAATACAGACATGAAATAAAAACGTCCTTGGCTACTTTTATAGTTTTGGTTCTTCTTCTTCTTCTTCTTCTTCTTCTTCTTCTTCTTCTTCTTCTT